AATCTCCTAAATCCTATCTCGGACACCCCACAAACAGCCAAGAAGCCAAAGATATTAAAGCAATCTCTACATAATACTTTGGAACAACGAAGCAAACGGGTACTTACTTGTTCCTTGTCCAAAATCGTTGGTGACACCGTACATTGTTATCAATTGTGGGTTAATCAAATCCTTCATGGCTTAGACTACATGAAGAATTAGAAACAAAAAGATGAATATATGCTGTAAATCATCATATAAATGTAACTGCATTTAAAAAAAGAAGGGATTGAAAAAATCGAATTCTATTTCATCAGTATGTAACTGCATGAAAAGTTACATTAAATGCAGACTCAATCAATTTCCCCAAGTCATTGTTAACTGAAAATCAATACCAAACCCATAAATACCACCATTGAATTTGGCAAAACCCAAAAACAAAATACAAAAATTTACTCATATAATCACAGAAAAACATGAAATTTGAGCACCTATTTGGCCAAGTTAAAGGATAAAGGCACTCACATCATCGAAGTACTGTTTGAGAAGACCTTCTAAGACTGGTTCTTCCTTTTTCGTCCTCTTGCTTAGAATTGCCATAAAAAAATCGGAGAAGCATACAAATTCAGAAACGAAAAGGTCCAAAACTGTCATAAAAAATCCAGAAAGCATACAAATTTATCAGAAAGAAAAGTTCAAATTACAAAAACCAACTGATGTGAGTGAGTAGTGAGAGGTTGTGTTAGGCACCTGGTTCCTGGTTTCCCTCTTGTTTGCCCGCCCAATCCAATCCATCTCATCTCGCTGCCATGGACACGCGACGTTCAGCCGCACTCAACTCCCTTGCAGCTTCGATGCGTGCTGACCTTTGTGCCATTCGGGATTCTGCACTCGCATTCCACAAGGCTATGGATTCAATAGTCACCGCAGTCCGCCATGACCTTGCTCTGTTCCGCCATGACTTGGCTCTCGATGCTGAGGACGGTTCCGATCCAGCCCCGACGATTTCTGATGACACTCAAATCACTCGATCTCGGTCATCCCGGACTTCAAGAAGACTACAATCCACCGAGAATACCATCGTCAATCGAAGTCCATTCTGTACCGCCGTTACTTCCGTCCTTCCCTTTGTTACAAGCAATGGCAAATCCGGCAATCAAGCCACAATCGACTGCTTATTTTGCAGCCCGAGATCCGAAGATGGCCACAACGGTAGAGTTGCTACCAGCCTTGATGTGTTCCGAGGCAGCTGAATCGATCGATGTAGGTCACCCAAAACTTCAACACCTTGCGACGCAAGACGGAGACGGCAACCCACTGCGAATTCCATCGACAGTCCACGACCATTCCATTCCGCCATTGCTCTCATCTTCACCGATGTTGCAAGCACTGGCAACTTCGGCCGTCACGCCACACTCGAACAACTCCGCTGCATCTATAGTCTTGCTTCCGGAATCGAAGACGATGACCTCTGCTCCGCAGTTATTCCATAAGCACTCGTTCTCTGATACTACGAAAACTGGACCTGAGGTAGTTCTTAATTTGAGTATCATTTTAGCAAATTCAGAGGCTAAATTCCTTTCTCTTTTGCATGATAACTATAGTGCATACCTGCAAGATAAATTTGGATGGGTTAGTTGGTATCTTATAGGTACATTTGTGAGGAAGGATTTTTGTGCATGGAAACTGTTTGCTGAAATTACAGACTCAAGTTGCTATGTTGTTCTCAATCGTGACATATGCTACTACAATGACATTCGGGATAAGGGTGGAGGCTCTTAATTCCAAAAAATGCAATTGAAGATAGCAGTGGCTGAAATAAAACTGTTGAGGAACAAGAGACAGGTGATGGTGAAGCAATTAAGGCGTGACATTACCTTGCTCCCACAAGTTGTTCAAGATGCCACTGCTCGAATCTAGGTGCAACATGTGTTCAGAAAACATAAAATTTTGGCCGCCGATGAGTTCAATGAGCTCTTCTGTGAATTAGTAGTATCTAGACTTTCTATCATCACACAGCAAATGAAGTGTCCGCCTAATCTCAAAGGGGGAATTGCTAGTTTAATCTTGCCTTTTCCAGGTGCTATGAGATTTCTGAACTGATCGCAGTAAGGAATATTTTTGAGGAAAAGTATGGTAAAGATTTTGTATATGCAGCTGTTGATGTACGTCCCAGCTGTGATGTGAATCATATGTTGTGGGGTGACAGAGGACATACACTGTTTGTAGACTCAGCATCAGCTACTGAAGCAGCTGCAAAATTTGCCCGTGATACAATGGTTGATGCACAAGTTGCTGCATATTTGGACAACACAGACTACAATTAGGACGTTGATACAATGGTTGATGCACAAGTTGCTGCAGAAACTTTTCCCACAAACAGTATTGGCTCGGCTGATTTCTCACCTTCCTTCCAAGAGCGACAAATTCACACTTCGTTTGCAAGACTCCTTAGTTGAATTTCACTGCAAACAGTTCCAGATTCCAAGTGCTAATCCTAACCTTGAGGACAACGTTGTTTTTCAAGGGAATTAGGAGTTTAATATTGGATTTGTTAGGCTTATTCTTGTTATTTAGTGAAGTCGGTTAGAAATGATAGCTGGCACTGAAGGTGTAAAGTCTATAAAAGGAGCTGAGCTCCCTAAATTGTAACAGATCAAATTTTACAAACAGAAATACAAAACCAAAAAATATATTGGTGCCCTGCTCCCTTCTCCATTTGCCATTTCTATTGCTGCTTGCAGGTTGAATAGGGTCCTGAGATATATGATCCTATCACAGACGTGCAGAGATGTTGGGACGAAAGGAATAAATGGGGTCGTTTGGATGCGTGTCTTCCTTAAACATGGGGGTGTTTGGTTGCTAGTTTTAATAAGAAAAGTGGGACACGTGGTTTAACTCTACCGAGCCACATTGTAGTCAGTGAAAAATAGGTACTGCCTAGCCAGTACCCAAGTATTGTCCTAACTTATTTCACACGGATTTACTATTATATAGTGTTATGGTCAGTATAATATATATATATATATATATATATATATATATATATATTCACATAATATTCATACATTTTGAGAGCAGAATGCACCTGACAAATTAGCCAATTTAGAATTTTTCTCGTCTTCACTTGTTCGGCATACCGTTCCTTTTATAGAGATTCTTCCTCTTTTGCACTCATATTTTTTGGGCATGTCAGCTTACAGGTTTGTCTCCCCTTCATGATTTGTGATTTTCTTTTTTACCTAATTTTTTTGGATTTTCCTTTTTGTTTTGCAGTTTGTCTTGCAGGTTTTTACCTTTTAAGTTTATAGAGGGGTTTAGGCTTATGTGCACCCAATCTTTGTCTTGTATTTTCTTTTTCAAGAGAGGTATGGTCTATGTCCTCCATTTTTTTTTTTTTTTGTATTTTTTTTTTTAAAGGGGTAAGATGTGTGTATAGCACAACCAAGAAAAGAACCCCGAGCATGCACTGATCAGTGTGTTATGGAGACTTTATGAAAAGTGATGGAGTCTGTCACCGAAAAAAAGAATAGTGATGGAGTCATATCCTACTTTATGCTCAATCAGTGTTGGTGACTTGGTGCTGTGTGGGCCTGGCTGTAACGTAAAATGATCGGCATGTATTGAGTACATAATAAGCCAAAATCTTTTTCAGATTGTCTTTGTGAAGATTATAGGAATTTGTGAATTATATTCGTTTATCGTATATCATGTGATTAGTTTTCGTCAAATATTGTTTGTGTGTTCAATTATAAATAAAAAAATTTAAATGATTTATGATCGCACAATGTATAATGAACGGACATGATTTACGAATTCTCAAGATCTCCTTAAAGAGGATTTGGATTCCATAATAAGAGCATCTCTACCGGTCACCAAATTGCAAGAACAGTCGGGTTGAGTTGCCTTTCATCCCAAAAAATACTTCTCCAACAATTCACAAAATAGGAGGCAATCGGGTTGAGTTGCCTTTCATCCCAAAAAAATACTTCTCCAAGGGGTGCGGTATACAGGAAAAAAGAAAAACAGAAAAAAAGAAAAAAGAAAAGCGTTCTTGGATTTGAACAACTGAATTTTTATAATTTTGTTTTTACCCGTGAGCTGTTCACCAGCTCTCCTAGTTCCCCACCCACGCGGTTCCCTGTCTTTGATTTAAAATATATATATATTCAATTCAACAGGCTAGGATTAATCCAACTCTAAAAAAATTAAAAAATTACAAAAAACAAAAAATTAAAAAAAACTTACAAAGTTCACACTTTAAAAATCTTACAAAATTCAACACAAATACAAATTAAACGTTTAAAATTACCTAAAAAACTACTGTGATAAGATAATGATACGCGGGGATAAGACAAAGAAAACATTAAAAATATTTAAAAACTATGTTTGTGAATAGTAATCATCATTACCCTTACTCTTCTTCCTTCCAAATTGGTGGATTTGCACAAGGGCAATCAGTGTTTAGATTGAAAAGTAAGGGCAATTTTATTGCCGTTACCTTTCAATTGTCATTGCCCTCAACCAACTGGTAGAGATGCTCTAATATTCCACCATTCCCGAGATGTATCTTCACCATATAAACTTAAAATCAGAACCATTTAATTTATGAATATTCATAAGTGAACAGTTTTGATTAGGATATTATATGGTTAAGATACATTATTCGAGAATGGTGGAATATGTGCATTTTCTCATGTGGGGAACAGAAGTATTATCCTTATATATAATTGGATAAAACTTTCATCCCCATGTGGGGATGAATATATTCTCTCATTTGCGAATAATGTATCTTAACCGAATAAAATTAACTATCGGAACCATTCAATTTATTAATCTTCTTTCGAAGAGCAATCCTACAAAAACTCATTTGAATTGGAAATCATTGAATCATCCAAATGTATCAAATAAATAGACATTTCATTATGAATATATTACTTGGTACCTACATCGTCGTTTTATTTTATATATTTGAATGACTTAGAAGTCAGGTCAGTCAAACGTATCAAATAAATAGACGGTTCAAATAAGGAATGCAAGTAATATCCACTCAATTTATTGCCAAGTCTTTTCACTCGTTGATTCTAGTCTACTTTGACGTTGACTCAGAAGTCAGGTCAGTCAAGCGTCGCGTACATTGACATTGTTATAAACTTGTAACTTAGAAACTTTAGCAAAAATTGAACAAATTAATCGTCTTATCAAAATCCCTAGGTTTTTCCATGCAAGGTGACATGATCCCTTCTACGTTCTCTCCTTTCTTCTTATTGCATTGCCCAGTACTACCACATATGCCATCAACGATCCCTACACAAACTGAGTTTGAAGTTTTTGCTGAACTTACAACACATAAAAGATCTGTTTTTGTAACACATTTAGATTCTTGGGTTCAAATTTTGGAAAAATAATCATTGATACATGAAAAAAATGTCGGAAAAAAATGTTGAAAAGAAGATGAGTTGTTCATATTATTTGATTTGATAAAGTTTGGTAATACTCACTGGTCCACTTTGATGCTAGAGAGTGGTTGGCCATCTGGCTTGAACAACAGAACATAAGCGCTTCTGTGTAAATACAATACCAAAACAAAAAATGAACAAAAACTCTTTGAAAATTAACATCTCTTATTCCATACAATATATACAGTATATATAAGTAAATTGCTTACGGGTCTGACTTCAATATAACCCCACTCCTCTTCATCCATCTAGAATCCCAGCAGCTACTACTATTGTAGTTCCTGCAGCTGCTACTGCTATATTGAAATTGACTACCTTATATAGTTGATTTCACATTCTTACACACATGACAAACCAAAAAACATCCAAAACATATCAATAATCTAAAAAAAGGCCAATTTAATACATTTTCTCAATCAGGTGGTAAGCACTGATAACAGAAAAAATGAACAACCACTGTGAAAAATACACCCGAAGAGTTAGTGAAATTAGATATAGAACATGCAATCATTTATAAAACACTGTAAATCTGCAATTAACAAAACAAACAGCAAAAATTCATAAAATCAAACATGCAACAATATAAATCTACTAAGCAGAAGTTAAAATAACATTAATGAATTTGACCTACTATTTTACTGTATTCGATTTTTGGAATTTTGAGTGAATGAATGGCAAAAGAACATATAACAAAATAACAGAAGCGTACCCCATTAGAGGAAGCCTGCCCAGCCAACCGGCCAGAAACATCAGCAAAGGTACAGAGCCCCGTTGCACTGAAGAATCAGAAGACCAAATCACTATATGAGCAACCCATATGAGAGGTAGAGAGAAGCGGAAAAACAAAAGGAAAAAGTGATTAGAGAATGCAATGAAAACGAAAGAAAAAGCATTAAGGCCTCTTAATAGAATAGTTCTCGATGATCAACACGTGGAAGACAGAGGCTGAAAAATCAGAGCAAAACCAAAAAATAAAACAATCAGCCTCTGAACAGAACCCCCCACAATGATCAACACGTGGAAGACAGAGGCCCAAAAAGCAGAGTATAACCAAAAATTAAAACAATCAGAGGCCAAGCAATGGAACCGGATTCTCTCCTGAGCTCCGTGGGAATTCTCCTTAGCAGTCCATTTAGATTGTTGAAATTTTATCCAAAGGCTCCAAATAGGAGGCTTCTTTAAAAGTTATAATAATTATAGCCGTTAAATCAAGTTTGAATGGTCCAGATAGACTGCTCATGACTATCCTCATCCTGAGCTCAGGAAAGGATTCAATTCCGCCTAAGCAACAACATTTGTGGGACAGAGAGAGAAAAAATAATAATTAAAAAATTAATGGCGGGACAAACAAATTATTTAAAATATGGGAGTTAAATCAGGTCAAATGGTTTGTGGCACAGCAATCACTAAAAAATTATAAAACACCAAGAGAAAAGCACAGAAACAGAGAGGAAGAAAATGGAAGAGCCTTCGAGCACCTTCCTCACCAAAAACGACGCACACGGTGAAAACACGTGCAAAAAACCCCAAAACGCATGTGGCATGGGTAAAATCGCCAATTCATGTATCATCTTGAAGAAGCCAAAAAATTGTGCATTCCACCAGGTTTTAGTATATAGATAATTTTTTAGCTATAGGGAAAGCCCGTTTCTCAAGCTTCATGGTATTTATACGATGACAGAAGAAATCAACGGTGGAGATTGAGTAGTATGAATAAATGGATAGTGGGTACATTGCATGCATGTATGATGGGTTGAATGTAGTTGCAGCCCATGTGTGATGTTGGAACACTGGTTTCGGTTTGTCACTTTGGGGCAAAGGGAATCATGAGGACCCGTGGAGTGTGATGGGATTGGGCTGTTTGGTGGACCTTTATGTCATGGTTTACGGATGAGGATTCTCTACAAATCCTTACATTCCAACCGTTCATCGTACATCATGCGATCAGTTTTCGTTAGGTACTATTTATGTTTAATTTTAAATAAAAAATTCAAAATATTTTTTGACCGCAAAATATACGATGAACAGTTAAACCTATAAAAATCACTAGAATCTCCAAAATTGAATCGGATTGGATCCAAATCCGTGATTCACATGGTTGGATGTGGACCCAATACAACAGCTTTGAGTCATGTGTGGGACCCTTCAGTATATAACCTAAGGTTAAGGTATTTATTATTTGTCCGCTTGTCTGGAGATAACTTATATCACACGGAGAAGATCCTCATTCAATCGATGTTGGTGACTAGGCGTTGTGGTCAGTAATATATATAAATTTTCCCACGATATTCATATATTTTGAGAATGGAATGCAGTTGTTAACAAATTAGCAAATCTAGTGCTTCTCTCGTTTTCACTTGTTTGGCATGCCGCTCCTCTTGTAAGGATTCTTCCTCTTCTACACTTAGATTTCTTGAGCATGTCAGCCTGCAGATTTGTCTCTACTTCTTGATTTGTGATTTTCTTTTTTACCTAATCTTTTTTAATTTTTCTTTTCGTTTTGCAGCTTGTCTTGCAGGTTCTTACCTTTTAGGTTTATAGAGGGGTTTGGGCTTATGTCCACCCAATCTTTTTCTTGTATTTTCTTTTTCAAGAGATGTAAGGTCTATGTCCCCCATTTTTTTTTCTTGTATTTTCTTTTCCAAAATGGGTAAGGTGTGTATCCCCTGCCCTCTTTTCTTGTATTTTCTTTTTTTTTGCTTTATAAGGGGTAAGATTTATGTCCTCCTGACTAGGTGTAATTTTTTTTTTTCATATCAATAAATTTCACTTGTACTGTCGAGGTTTTCCAAAAAATAAAAAAAATAATATTATTAGATCGTAATGCTGATGATAGCTCGTTCCATGTAAAATTTTCTCACTTGTTTGAAAATAGAATAGAATCTCGAGCATGCCATGCATATATGCATGCATGTCGATTATAAAATTTGTACAATCAAAATATATTATTTGTAAAGCATAATGAGCTCATTCCAAGGAATGCAAATATTATCCACTCATTTTGTGCAAGTATTATCCACTCGTTGATTCTAATTTGCTTCCACGTTGACTCACGAGTCAGGTCAGTCAAGCGTCGTGTGCACTGACATTGTTATGAACTTGTAACTTGGATATTTTAGCAAAACTTGAACAAATTAATCGTCTTATCAAAACCCCGTGGTTTTTCCATGCAACGTGACATGATCCCTTTCTACTTTCTCTCCTTACTTCTTATTGCATTGCCCGGTACTAGCTTGAATTCTTCAAACGGTCCCATAAACACCCGCGGCGCCTCTTCAAATGCCACCTGCAACAGATACGACCGCAACTGCTATAGATCGTCGTCAGGTAATCAGCCTCCGCCGTCGCCGCCTCCTCCGCAGTCGCAGTCGCAGTCGCCGAAATCGCGGTCGCCGCCTCCTCCGGAATCGCAGTCGCCGCCTCCTCCGCAGTCGCAGTCACCTCCACCGCCGCCTCCTCTGCATTCGCAGTCGCCGGAATCGCTGTCTCTGCCCCCTCAGCAATCGCAGTCGCCGTCTCCTCTGCAGTCGCAGTCACCTCCACCGATATCTTTGCCGCCTATGCCTCAGTCACCACCGCCACCGTTATCTTTGCCGCCTAAGCCTTCGCCCCCGCTGTCACCTTCGCCGCCTCCTTCGCTGCCAAGCTTGCTGACAAACAGATCTGGTAAATGATGATATCCTTCAAGCTTTCTACAATTCTTGTGACTGATAAAAATTGGTACCCTCGTATATAATTTCATATGCCACAAATCACCGTGTTGAGTTTCATATCACGACGTAATAATATGAATCGTTCATTTTTATATTCTCCTTTAAAGATGATTCTTATAGCAAATAATCAAAATAAAAATCGATTAGCTCTTTGATTATTGTTAGGTAGGCCCAGAGATATATTTATTATAATTTTGTATTCATACAGGAAGCAGCAAACCCTCATCGATGATAATCATCGTTGGTATTCTTGGTTCAGTTGCTTTCTGTTCGTTAGTTGTGGTTGTGGCCGGATGCTTCTTTCGCAAGAGACTTCGAACAGTCAAAGAGAGATACCACTCCAAACGACAAAAGAAAAAAGGTAATTACTTAATAAAAAGATTTGAAAAGTATTTATATATTACTTCAATTTCTTAATAAATTTTTTATTTAAGACATCTAATCTTTTGAGTCAATGTTTGTAGTTGGTAATGATATGAAGAAAACTGTCGAGTCATTGCAATTTAGATTGGGAACTATTGAAACTGCCACGAACAAGTTTTCAGATGATAACAAATTAGGTGAAGGAGGATTTGGTGCCGTTTTCAAGGTATGAAAATGTTTATTTGCATGAGATCCTTCACTCCACAAAATTATGGAGGCATTCCTACGCGAAAATAGTTCCTGATCATCGCTATGTGAAAAAACATTCATGCAAAAATCAACAAAAAAACATGTGAACTTTTACGCATCGAACTGTATAAAACTAAATGGTCAAAATATATATATTATGAACTGTCTATCTATTTACTATAATTGATTGACTAAATGACCTTAATTAGTTTGAATTACATATTATACTACATAATTAATAGTATTTACAACGCTTACTGCTTAGTTCACATTACATATTGTAGGGCACACTTGGTAATGGACATGAAATAGCAGTAAAACGGCTATCGAAAAGCTCCACACAAGGTGTACAAGAATTTCAGAATGAGGTGGTATTGGTAGCCAAACTTCAACACAGAAACCTGGTGAGGCTTCTGGGATTTTGCTTGGAAGGAGAAGAAACCTTACTTGTCTATGAATATGTACCCAACAAAAGTCTTGACAAATTTCTATTTGGTTAGTGAATATCATTTGACCAAATATTTTCCTTTGTTAATTACAATATATATGTGGTGTGTGTGTGATTGGCTGTAAATTTTATCATGTCCTTGATAAATGTTACCCATGCAGAACCCAAGCAACGAGAACAGTTGGATTGGTCGAGACGTTGCATGATAATAGGAGGAATTGCTCGAGGAATTTTGTATCTTCATGAAGATTCTAGGCTTAGAGTTATACATCGTGATTTAAAAGCCAGCAACATCTTGTTAGATGGTGAAATGAATCCAAAAATATCAGATTTTGGGATGGCTAAAATGTTTGGAGTTGATGGTCAAACTCAAGGAAATACCGAAAGAGTCGTCGGAACTCTGTAAGTTTCAATTTATATAACCTTTGATCCTATTTAAGTTTCAACTTATATATCTTCACATATAAAATAGGAGGATCTTACGGTACCTCATTAAAAAAGGGTAAATCGCCAAAATGATCCCTGAGCTTTGCATAACTCATCACTTTGGTCCCTGAGATTCTAAATCGATAAAAGTGGTCCCTGAGATTGTCCACCATCCATCATTTTGGTCATTTTGTTAAAAACTCCGTTAAGTGTCCTGGAGCTCTTGGCCGGAAGTTTGACAAATTTTCAAAGTTTCGTAACTCATTCGTTTATTAACCAAATTGACCCATAATAAATCAAAATGAAGATAGGAAAGTTTAGAATAAGATTATACCTATTTCAAAGCCCAATGGTTGCTAGAGATTTCCAGAAAATAGCCTCAAAGTTGACTGGTTCGATTGAAAACTTGAAAACTCGTCAGAAACTGGGTAAACTTTAAACGTTCATAACTTCTGCAGTACTCAACGAAATCAAGTGATTCAAAAATGAAATTCATACTTCTCAACGAGATGAAGAGAATGGTACCTTTTTTGACTGCTAACTCGCGGTGGTTTGGCCAGAAAACGGCTCGAAAGTGTCTGTTTTGGTCTCAAGTTAGCCATTTTCGAGCTGTTTTCCGGCCAAACCATGGCGACTTAGCCGTAAAAAAAGGTACCATTCTTTTTGTCGAGTCGAGAAGTATGATTTTCGTTTTTAAATCACTTGATTTCGTTGTGTACTGAAGAAGTTATGAACGTTTAAATTTCACCTAGTTTCCGGCGAGTTTTCAAGTTTTCACTCAGACCAATCAAATTTGAGGCTATTTTCCAGCCATCTCTGGCAACCATTGGGCTTCGAAATAGGTATAATCTTATTCTAAACTTTCCTATCTTCATTTTGATATATTATGGGTCAAATTTGGTTAAGAAACAATTGAGTTACGAAGCTTTGAAAATTGCCCAAACTTTCGGCCAAGAGCTCCGGGACACTTAACGGAGTTTTTAACGGAATGACCAAAATGATGGATGGTGGACAATCTCAAGGACCACTTTATCGATTTGTAATCTTAGAGACCAAAGTGATGAGTTATGCAAATCTCAAGGACCATTTTGGCGATTTACACTATTAAAAAATAAAGGTACCAGTACCCTTTAATATAATAATATTTTAAATTATTTTAGACCATTGATTAAGTTCAACAAATGATCTTAGTGTTAGATACAGTTTTGAATAAAAATTTAAGGATTATCTTAGACTATTGATTAAGTTCAAAAAAATTTCTTAATCATAAACGTTAAGAATTATCTTAGACCATAGATTTAAGTTTAATGAATTACCTTATACCATTGCTTAATTTTATTTTTGTACAAATGTGTAAATTACCAACGGTTAGATTACCAAGGTTGTCAGTTACTGTGTGGAAATTAGATTACACTATCAATGTAGTATATTACAAGAGGTGTGCTATCCACGCATCTCATTTTACTTCTCACACATCTCTTGATAATTTATGTTCGTTGATATTTTTCAATTCATCCGATCTGACGGCCGAAAATTAAAAAGGTATGTGAGAAGTAAAATATGGTGTGTAGATATCACATCCTATTACAATTGTGTTGAACGTTATTGAATTACAATATTAACATTAAAATTAAAGAGTACTTGTATCTTATTGTTTTAATAAAGTACCATAGACTAACCCTAAAATATATTTGTTTTTTCTAACTACAAAGTCTCAACGCATTAATTTTGTACATGCAAGTGGTTATATGGCTCCAGAGTATGCAATAGAAGGAATATATTCAGTAAAATCAGACGTCTTTAGCTTTGGTATACTCCTGCTTGAGATCATCACGGGAAGAAAGAACTTTTTAGGCTTTAACTGCCGTTTTCCTACACTTCTAGCACACGTAAGCATTTAATAACTTGGTATAAGAATTATTTATATATACATCATTATTCCCAAATTATTATTTGGCTAAGCTATCAAAGATTAGAGTAGTATACCATTTTATAATTACATCCTTAAAAATTATTGTTTTACAGGCTTGGCAATCATGGAATGAAGGAAAAGGGTTGGATTTGATAGATCCAATACTGTCGAAAGATTCATGCAGGCTAGATCAAGTTTTGAGATACATCCACATTGGACTATTGTGTGTTCAAGAGGATGCAAACAGTAGGCCGACCATGTCATCAGTTGTTTTAATGTTGAAAACTGAAACTATTAGTCTTCCCAAACCTGAGCGACCGGCATTTTTTACAGGAAGATATGCAAATATGCAGGATCAACTAGCTGCTAAGAGTTGCACCATCAATGGTTTAACAATTTCTGATGATCTTCCCCGTTAGGGATAAATTATAAATTATATGCTTGTATATACAGCCTATGTCTCGCATTCAACCCCTATATACATACTTCTTGTTCAAGTGACATTTTTTGTGAAACTGAGAATGAATTACGAAGTTAGACAATTAAACTGTTGAACCTTTTTATATTATTTATTGTTAGAGTAAAGTAACAAAATGTCTAAATTTGTAATGTTTTAGACTAGTGCATGTCTTCGTTTGTAATTATTTTAGTTTAAGTTTGTCCTTCGTGTTCTTGATTACAGAATATCAAGCATTTCAAAGACTTCAACTCAAGTAAGTATGTCATAGATATGCATCTTGACCCAATGTTGGGAGAATTCGCAGCGCACATACATAAGATTTCTAATGGTAATACTAGAATTAGTAGTTGGAAGGGATATACATTTTTGCATATACTTTGAGATCTCTTACGTCAAGAATCATCCAAAAAAACATTCGGATATTAGGTAACAAGACAAAATCATTCGACGGTTAGACATGAAAAATCACTATTTAACGGTCGTTGTAGCTACGTTTTTGTTGAAAATTTTACAAATATTTAAACTAATGGATACAACAAAAGCTTACATTCTACTTAATGGAAGTATAAACTCTAAGAGTTTTGAAATCCATTCTTTTGACGGGACAAACATTTTATGAAACTAGTTTTCACGATCCAACTGTCAAACACGTTTGCATATACTTCAAGATCTTGTAGGCCAAAAGTTACCCAAAAAAAAAAAACATCCGGAGGTTAGGTAACGGGACGAAATCATTCGACAGTTAGATATGAAAAATCACGATTTTAACAGTCATTTTAGCTCCGATTTTGTTGGCCTATCCCACAAAATTTATATTATTTTTAATTTTTAGTTTCTTAGAGTTAGCTCAATATCTTTTTCGTTGGGTCAAGTTTATTACATTATTTATTTTTTTTGCTGGCCGACGAGATACTCATGTCTGGCAATAAGATTTCGTCGAGTCAATTCATGCAACGGGTTTTGGCCGACTAATCCTTCCTGACGAACCTACGTCGGCTAAAGGCTATGACGACAAAATCAACTTTGGGCCGACAAAATATTTTCGTCATGCGAGGTTTTTTATTTAGTGATTCCCCTTGACAGAACGAACATTCTACAAAACTAGTTTCGATGATCCAACTATCAAACATGTCTGCGTATACTTCAAGATCTCTAACACTAAAAATCACCACAAAAAAAATATTTGGAGATAGGTAAAGGGACGAAATCATTTGAAGGTTAGAAATGAAAAATGAAGATTTAACAGTAATTTGTTCTCCAATTTTGTTGATTTTTACAAATACAATCCTCAACCCTAGAAGAATATGATGAAAAAAGCCTACATTCTACTTAATGGAAGTATAGGCTAAACTCTAAATGTCTTGGAATCCCTTATTTTGATGGGACACACATTCTACGAAACAAGTTTCGACGATCCAACCATCAAACATGTTTGCATATACTTTGAGATCTTCTAGGCCAAAAATTACCCAAAAAAAACATTCAGAGGTTATGTAACGGGATGAAATCATTTGATGGTTAGAATAAAATATCACGATTTAACAGTCGTTTTAGCTCTGATTTGTCGGCCCGTCATGCAAAATTTATATTTTATTTTTGGTTTGTTAGAGTTTGTCCGACGAGATGCTCTTGTCAGGCATGAAGATTTCGTCAGGTCAATTCGGTCAACTCACGTTTGCTCGACGAGTATATTAGTTAGACTAACTCTATTTTGCCTGATGGACTTGTATTTTCGTCGTTTTAGGCTTCCTGCAACAGGTTTTGCCCGACTAATCTTTCCTGACAAACTTCCATTGGCTAAAGACTACGACGACAAAATCAGCTTTGAGCCGACAAAAAATTTTCATCTGGCGAGGTTTTTTGTTGTAGTGATTCCCCTTGCCTAATTCTATTAGTTCAATTGACGGAAATAAGAAATATGACTAAAATTGAGAACAAACATAAATCTATAATGATTTTCCCTTGCGATTTAATTCTTTGCCATGTCAAATTAGATGGATCTATTATTACAAAACGTATTACAATTCAAATGGCCGCACCCTAAGGCCGCCACCAACATAATATCACCGTAGTCCTAGTGCAATTTTGCATTGAGAGAAACAACCCTTTTTTTCAAGTTTTTTCATCTTTGATCTTAATTTGCTGGGGATTTCCCATCTGACTACCAAATAATAACCATGACAGACGAAATCAACCGTAACAACCAAGAAACAAGTAAGCTAGTGACTACAAGAAAGGCTTGTGTTATGAATTCCGGATTCATCCATCATACGAACATCAGTGACAAACTATTCTTGATCCACTTGAGGTTGTTTCTTAGACTTGTTTTAACCTTACCTTCCATAGTAAACACGTTGTATGAGGCGACTCTCTTCTTCCTCTGGAGTTCTGGATCCGTTGATGTTGCAAAACCGCTTCCTTTCTGGGTTGGCCCGTTGAAGTTGTACGAGTTCGACCGCTCCCGGAAGTCGAACTCGCTGGAGTGAGCTGCGCTGTATTCAGGGAATGACTTGCTCTTCTCCATGTCAAAAGCGCCTAGCTATAGGGAAATAGAACCTAATTTTTTAGCTATAGGGAAAGCCCCATTCTCAAGCTTCCTGGTATTTATACCATGAGAGAAGAAATCAACGGTGGAGATTGAGTGGTATGAATAAATGGATAGTGGGTGCATTGCATTCATGCATGTATGATGGGTTGAGTGTGGTTGCCGCTTGTGTGTAGTGTTGGAAGGCTGCTTTCGGCTTGTCACATTGGGGGAAAGGGAATCATGAGGGCCAGTGGAGTGGGATGTTGTTGGGCTGTTGGGTGGGCCTTTTTTGCCATGATATATGTGTGGGGCCCTTCAGTACATATCCTAGGGTTAAGGTTTTACCAACAGGATCCTCTCTGGATCATTTTTGTGAAGATTTTAGGAATTCGTGAATCGTATCCGTTCATCGTATATTGTGCGGTCAATTTTTATCAGGTATTGATTGTGTTCAATTTTAAATAAAAAAATTTAAATATGACCACACCATGTACGATGAACGAACACAATTCACGGATTCTTGGAATCCTCACAAAGAGAATCCGGATTCAAGATTTTTATTATTTGTTTGTCTAGAGATAACTTACATCAAACGGATTTACAATTATATAGTGTTTCGGTCAATAATATAATATAATATACAAAAAAATTTACACGTGATATTGTATTATTGAATTGTAACGTTGATGATAACTCGTTACACGGAAATTTCTTAGTTGTTTGGGAAAGAAAAGAACCCCGAGCGTGCTTTGCATGTCTTAATCCGTAATCAGCGTGTTATGGAGATTTTGAGTCATCCGGCCGGCTTGCTAATTAAACATTTTTAAAAGTGGTGGAGTCATATCCTAATTTATACTTAATCGATATTGGTGACTTGGTGCTGTGTGGGCCTTGCTGCATTATAAAATGGTCGGCATGCATGGATTTGGATTCGTTCTGAATTTTAGTATCCGGAGTTTAGGAATCAAGCGATATGAGCCATACATTATGTGGAAAAAAAAAATTAAAATCGTTAATTTGTGTGAGGTCAGTCAGTAAAATGAGTTAATGAAAATAATTGGATTTAATTTGTGCGGCCCAAATTGCTTAATCCCTAAGCTCTGAACACTATGATCTGAAGCAAATCCAATTCCGGCATGCATTATCTTGATCACTTAAAAATACCCACCAGAACTAGATATGCTTTAATAATTTGATTAGTGCCTTCTCCACTCTGTTTGCAAGTGTATATCTATATTCTTCTAAGAGTAAGAACTAATGAAGTTAACGTAGTGTAATTGTTGGTTTCTGTAGTTCCACTGATTTCAAATATAAACCCAGCCATTTACTAATGAACTTAAAATATTAAGAAGCTTTGCAAAGCAACTTTTGTTATTTTTTTATTTTATTTTATTTTTTTACAAAGCATTTTCTTGTAACTTGCCGTATTATAAGATGGAAAACCTATCTAAGTATTTGTCCACGTGTCATACTATTCATTATTAATTGTGAAATTTCTTTAATGTACGTATATACGTACATAGTTTGACCCAGTTATTTGTCGACATGAAAGTGGTATTCCTCTTTACTTGTAAGTGAAAGGTTTTAGGTTTGATTCTCGCTAAAGGAAAATTTAAACCACATTATTGCTAGCTCGTTGAGAGGTTAAGTGTACCTCCTCTCCTTAATGTAGATAATATCGATTGTTAAAAAAAAAAAACTTTAAAATTAATAGTATTCAGAACTTAAATGTGAATTTGGGTCAATACTTTGTAGAGAAAAATGGTCAATCTTATCGACATACATACTGATATAAGCCGCACAACATTCTATCGTAGTTTTATACTTTCTTTTAAGCTTTATGCCCTATTGTCAAACTATGTACGTACATGCATACGTACGTATGTATGTGCTCTACGATTATTTTGTGGTACCATTCATGGGAAGCGGAAAAGTATGTTCGATTTGTGTCTCAGTGGACTCGGATCCCGGAATATCCTAGCAGAGATGAAAGGTCCTTGTCTTCAGCTTGGGTCCTTCATTTGTATGTAGCCTGTTGGAAGACTATAAATAAATTCGAAAGGACTGTGTACTTTTTATGAGGAAGTTTGAATCTCAACACGCTCCTACAAATACGAACAACTGCTCTAACCCTCTGCGCACGTCTAGAACCTTGTAAGTCGTCGGGTTGGCTACGGTATGTCGAGTTGCCCCTCGGTTTTCGCCTCCCAAGACCTAGAGCTGAAAGTGATAGCTCTAAAGACCTAACTAGAATATTTTATCTGTGGAAAAGCTTGTGTTTCTTGTGTTTTCTCTCTTCTCCAAAGCCTCCTTATATAGTGGTTGGGAAGAGTATGCAAAGGCTAAAAAGCCCATGAAAATTCCAAGTATATTCTAATATGAATATCTCTTGATTTTCATCTAATTATCACATAGATAATTAGGAGGTTAATATCCTCATGTGGGTGGAATATCCTTTGATATTTATTTATCCCATATAAGATAAATCCTACATTTTCCACTCACCCACATAGGGTGTGGCATAGTCTCAATCAACACACTTAGTTCACATCCATTCTAGTCTATCTCCTCATACAGGAAATGGGACGTGCGACCTCGTGAGAAAGAACGTACATAACCAGGAGCACTGCCATTATGCTATCACTAAATTAACAATAGTGCATCACTCGGAAGTT